TGCTTTGGCCTTGACACACCACTCAATGCTCTTGTTTCCAAGGCAAGAGCACTTGAGGTCATTTTCTTCTGTGTCTGGCCAAGTGGCAACAACCACTGCTGAGCTGCAAGAGTTAGGAGAACAAGGAAACAGGCAGAGAATAAGAGGTTGGGGTGGGGGTGGGAGGACCGAGAGAGGCAAAACACTGGAGTAGACAGGAGAAAGGCAGCTTTAGATTTTATTTTGCTTCCTGGTAGCCCTGGCAGAACATGGGCATTAAACAGGAAGGAAAATTTTGGGAAAAGAAAGCAGCAGATAGGCTTCATTAGGACTGGTTCTTCAGGAATAGAGAGAGAATTTACTTTTTTTTTTTTTTTGTCTCAGTTCTTAGGCTTGAATTCAAGTTCTAGGAACTATCACCTCATTTTTTATTTTTATTTTTCTGCTCAAGGCTTTCACTCTACTACTTGAGCCACATCTCCACTTCCAGTTCTTTTGGTGGTTAACTGAGATAACAGTTTCATAGGCTTTTCTGCCTGAGCTGGCTTTGAGCCACAATCCTCAGACGTCATTCTCCTGAGTGTAGCTAGGATTATAGGCATGAGCCCGTGGTGCTCATTTATGTCTTTAAAAATGAAGATCTAATCTCACTATCTTGTTCAGGCTAGTTTTAAACTCCTCTGTTCAAATGATCCTCCTGCCTCAGCCTCCTGGTAACTGGGCTACAGGTGTTCAGTACACAGTTGGTCATAAGTTTACTTTGATCTTGGGTCAATACAAGACCAGCTTAACTGAGAAAGGCAAATGCCTGTGAACCAACAGCTTGCTTCTGTGAGATGGGAGTGGGCACTGTAGCCCAATTCCACTTGGCAGGCAGAAAGAGAACAAGCAGCAGACAGCATCTCCAGCAGCCCTGAAAAAAGCTTTAATAGATGATACACTCTATTTTGTATTCTATTACAATTAAAAAAGAAATCCAGGCTACTACAAATCATTAAATTTATTGCCAGACCTAGGAGGTCTCTTCTCTGGGATGCTTTTCTGGAAATGTTTATATAAGTTATCTCCAGACTCTTCACACCTGAGAGCAGTGGCCTCCAGTGAAGGCTGCCTCCAATATTGGAACATCTCTGCATTTGTTATACGGATCTCTATGAATCCTGATTACTCAAGAGGGCCCAGCTGTTCTCACTTTCTGCTGTTCTGCTGTGTCTCTGAAGCACTTTAGTTTGCCATTCTGAATTCCCTATACCTTTTCTTCCTCCCTTTCCTTCCTTCACAAATATACATGGAGACCTAATCCATACCAGGCATTGTTCTAGATGCTGGGGATACAAGAATGAATAAGATAGATAGAAATCCCATCCTGAAGGGTTCACATTCTGGAGCTGGACAAGGGACAATAGACAAAGTTTATATCAGATCATGAGTTGCCTGGCAAAACATGGCAAAAAAAAAAAAATAGGTAATGGGTTTGTTTTTGTTTGAACTTACGCTCAAAGAAACTTACTCCTGGGGAGTAAACCCAGGGCTTCTTGCAAGCTAGGCAAGTGCTCTACCATAATGGTTCCTAGAAACCATTATAAGGTGCAATCTGAAAGTGCAAAGAAAGGATTTATGAAGTTATCTGATGAGATTTTTTTTTTGGGGGGAGCAGTGGTCAGGGTTGGTCATGGGGCTTAAACTCTGGGCCTGGGTGCTGTCCTTGAGCTTTTTTGCTCAAGGCTAGTGCTCTAACAGTTTGAGCCACAATGTTACTTCTGGTTTTATTTATTGCCAGTCCCAGGGCTTGAACTCAGGGTCTGGGCACTGTCTCTGAGTTTCTTTTGCTCAGGGCTAGTACTCTACCACTTGAGCCACAGCCTAACTTCCAACTTTTTCTGTTTATGTGGTACTGAGGAATTGAACCCAGGGCTTCATGTATGCTAAGCAATCATTCTACCATTAAGCCAATTCCCTGCCCTAAAACAATCTTTTTTTTTTTTTTGGTCTGTTGTGGGGCTTGAACTCTGGGCCTGGGCACTGTACTTGTGCTCTTCAGCTCAAGGTGAGCACTCTACCACTTGAGCTACAGTGCCACTTCTGGTTTTCTAGTGGTTAATTGAAGATAAGAGTCTCCAGGACTTTCCTGCCTGGGCTGGCTTTGAACTGAGATCCTCAGATCTCTGCCTCCTGAATAGCTAGGATTACAAGCATGAACAACTTTCACCTGGTGTGAAGTATGTTGTAAGCACAAAGACTAAATATTCTGGGTCTAGTGGTCTTCAGGGTTGAAATAATAGCTATGAAATGGACTCATGTTTTTCCCTTTTCTATTCACCATAAGCATATAAAAACCTAGTAAAAAATTAAGGTAGTGTTGTTCAAATATTTATGACAGCAACCCACAATGTAAGCAACTCTGCTTACATTTCCAGAAATGGAAATGCACAAAGATACGTAACAAGTTTCACATACAACCTAATTTTATTATGTGATGCATTATTTTGTATTAAATTCCATTCAAATAGAAAGTATTAGTTAATACCACTAATTCAGTAGGTTGTAACTTATGTTTAAACTAGGCCAACCACAGTTCTCTCTTTGGTTAAAACTTTCCCTTCTCCCAGCTAACATAGGCCTAAAAGGTTGGGTATTGTTTTCAGAAGTCAGTTGCTTTGGTACAGCATGTATGCTGTTGAGCTTGTCTGTCACAGATGAAATTTGTGCTCAGCTCACGTTAATTAACTGCAAGGTGAAGTTCAGACCAAGTGTCTCTTCTCCTACTCTTTCCTTGATTATGTTCAGAGTTGGTTTAACTAAGTTTAAATGTGGAAGGTTGATTCAGTATTAAAGCTTCAGCCTGCAGCCCTCTTCATTTGTCACTGAGATTGCTGGTTCTTACACGCAAAGGGGAGCTGGATGGGGGTCATCTTGGAGCAAATTTTCAAGTCAATGAAACACTCTAAAGATAAAACATGTGTATATTCATACCTTTTTTTTTTTTTTTTGCAAGACTGAGGGATGGAGAACTATTAACTGCCTTTCCTCTATTTTCTTTCTGGGGACAATTTCTAGGACCCATTTCTTGAGCTGTGCTGCGTGAATCTGGTATATAGATCCTAAAGTCTAGGAACTGCTCACAGCAGGGGCACGTCCTTTGTGTTAGGAACACCGCACCTTTTGCTGTCTAAATTGGGCTCTGCCATTGCAACCCTCTTCAAATAGGCCCGATAGAATTCATTCTGACATGGCTTGCATAAGAATCCTCCTCAATGGATGATAGAAGAGCATTTGGCTCCACTAACTATTCAAAGCCTTATAGGAGTTAATCAGAGCAGAGGGGAGAAATAGTGGTTTCAACAGCTGAGCGCACACAATCTAAGGTCAAGGACCTAGGGATGTAGAAAAGGAACAGAGTAAGAGATATGCTCAATTATTTTGGAGTAAAGATAGTCAGAAATGAAGCTTTGATAGGTTCTCCATGGTTTTCTCCTCTGTAAGCAGTCTCACAGGAAGCTCAATTATAAGAAACTTTGAGTCTGAACTGAAGTAGTTCATCATAAAAGACAGTACCAATGATAGCCTAGGGTTTTAGTATCTGCAGCTTGGAGCCTGGCAGTTGAGGACACTACGTTAAGCAGCCTGGGGACTAAGAGGAAGGAAGCAGAGTCATCCAGGCAGTTTCATCCCTTGGATGTAATTCAGTCATCCATGATGACTGAAACCTGGTGTGGTTTGGAAAGCCAATAGGTAAGTGTGGACTTACCATGGTAAGTAGGTCTCTTTCCCATGTGTTATTGTAGTTGAATGGTGTGATGATGTTGAAAAGATCACATACCATGTGACACATCACATGTTCTCAAACAGTGGGCTCACAAAAGCACATGCTTACTGTGCTGGCCCAAAGTAGCTTATTGTACTCAGACAAGTTTTAAAGAGTGTTGATAGTATATTTTGGCTCTATGTGGATAACAAATCCTGGATTTTTAAACAGTAAAATTATACATAAAACACTACATAATTAAGAACTTTGTTTCTTGTGGTGCTGGGATGGAATCCTGGGCCTGGCACATGTTAGGCAAGTGTTCTACCACTGAGCTATGTCTTGAGCCCAAGAAGTACTATTTCTTCATAAAGTATCAACTATAAAAGACAACTTAATAAGTTATTCAAAAGTCAAATGGTTTCCAGCCACCTGGGGAGTTCTTAACAATACCTGAGCTCATAAACTAAGAATATTTAATATTATACATATAGGCTAGATGTCTTATGAAAAGGACATCTTTGCTCAAGAGATTATAAAAAGCAAATATCTGGACTACAGTTAAAAATCTCTCAGGATCAAGAGGATGACTATCCTACTCATGTCCAATGTGCCAATAAACCAGTTTTTACATTGCACGTCCTCATTCCAATAAACTACCAAAAAGCTAGAAGCAGAGCTATGGCTCAAGTGGCAGAGTGCTAACTTTGAGTAAAAGAAGCTCATCTGGATGAGATCAAGCCCCAGGACAGGCACAAAACAAGCACACAGAAAACAATCTGATACACTCACATAATCACTACTCTTCAACAACCATACCATTATGGGTTGTAGGTTGCTAAACACTGTTTTTGCCTTTTTTTTTTTTTTAATGATTTGAACAAAAGCAGCTTGATTCCTAACTCAAGTGACTAGGAACCTTAACTAAATTAGAAGGTTCAGAAAAGCCACCACTTCAGGAAAATGCTGGGTATCATGAGAACTTTCCTTGGAATACTTGTGGGTATGGTAGGACTGAAGTGATTTCTCAAACATGAGGCTTCTGTTGCAACCAGTTACTTGAAAACTTAACTGAAAACTCTCTTCAGATAAGGTAAAATTTGTTATCATACCAAAACATGAAAAGAGTAGGGAGAACCCACAAGAAAATTGATATGAAAATATTCCTTCCTCAGTAACCAGCTACTTGGGGATGGCAGGAGAAATCCCAGCATGTGGCCTGCTCACACCTTTTCTGGGTTGTCTAATCACTGAAGATAACTCTCATTTGGGAAAATGAGATTCATATTTTATTTACAATTTACAAAGAAATACAGAATGTCTCCCATAAACTCTACTCTAGGAGAAGAAAAGCAATACAAAGAAAAGCAATACGTGTCCCAGCTCTGCAGGGACATGTGGTGAAAGAAGTCCATTTCATTGTTTCCTTAAACAATGATTTTTCTTATTTAAACAAAGTAAAATAAAATCCCATGATTTCTTCATATTACATATGTGAAAGAATTAACAATAAAAATAATCTTTCAAAATTACAGTCTCTGGTTAAATGTATGAGGTGATCAGGATGTTACTTTCCGTCAGTGACATAATCCCTGATCACTAAGAGAAATAACCTCTGAGCAAAGAGCTTAATACTCATCAAGAGTATCTGCTCGGGGAATAGAAAGACCCCGATCTTTAAGGGCCTGAACTTTCAGCTTCTCAGCCTCCAATTTGGTTTGCTGTTCTACCCTTTGTTCTTCTAGGATCTCTTCAATAGATACTTGTTGCAGAGGTGTATCACTCTCCTTTTCCAAGTCCTGTAAAAGAGTCAGATTTTAAAACTTCCCATGAAGACCAAGAATAGAAAACCTTATAGATTGAAAGGCAAATGATCACTACACAGGTTTTAGTTGCTTTTCTTAACTAGTATCACGCTCAAACATCCATCTTCTATGGATAGCCAAAGAAATGACCATTGTAGAACACTTTATCTGGAATGGTAACCAGTGTCAGCATCAGTATGTACAGCTTAGCTTGTTTATCAAGATTAATACATTTGTCAGGATTAAGTTTTCTCTAAAACAGTACAACTAGGGACAGCTATCTCCTCAACTGCGCAAAATCCAAGAAAGTTACTAAAGCTGAGATAATTTAGGTAATTCTTGTATTTTTATTTTTTTTGGTACCAGTTCTGGGGCTTGAACTCAGGACTTGGATGCTGTCCCTGAACTTTTTTGCTCAAGGCTAGTGCTCTATCACTTAGCAGCTCTACTTCTGGCCTTTTTCTTTTTATTTTTTTGGTAGTTCATTGGAGGTAAAAGTCTCATGGCTTTTCCTGCCTGGGTTGGCTTCTAACTGTGATCCTTAGATTTCAGCTTCAGATTATAGGCATGAGCCACCCGTGCCCAGATTTGTATTTTTTACATTTTTAAAGTTGGCTTCATTTCTGGGGACTGAAGCTCTTAAAGGCATAATGTACTTCTCTTGTGTTAATTGGGAATACCTAAACTTTTAACACAAAATTCTATTCCCCTCCATAGCAACAAATCTATAGATAACATCAGAAGACTAGATAAGTTATCAAACCAGTTTGGCCCCAATGTATTTAATTACTATTTGAGAACTGTAGCTTAGCTTTTTCACTCAAGGACACTCGAGTTCCTTGAACCCTATCTCTACTTCTGGCTTTTTGCTAGTTAATTGGAGATAAGAGTCTTTTGGGGGGCTGGGAAGGTGGCTCAGTGGTAGGTGCTTGCCTTGCAAGCATGAGGCCCTGGGTTCGATTCCCCAGCACCACATAAGAAAAAAGGAAAAAAGCCAGAAGTGGCGCTGTGGCTCAAGTGGTAGAGCGCTAGCCTTGAGCTGAAGAGCTGAGGGACAGCGCCCAGGCCTAGAGTTCAGGTCCCACGACCAGACCCCCCCCACCAAAAAAAAAAAAAAAAATAAAGTCTTTTGGATTTGCCAGGGCTGCCTTTGGACTAAGCATCTCAACCTCTAGAGTAGCTTCCAAGCTACAGGTGCCCAAATCAGAAATTTTTTTTACTTAAAAAAATTATTTTTCCTTATTTAAAAATATGTACCCTGTATAGGAAATTTAGAATATAGAGAGAAAAGCAGAAATTTTTAAGAAAATCACATAGCCAAGCATTGGTGCCTCATGCCTTTTATCCTAACTACTGAGGGTTCAAAGCCAGCCTGGGCAGGAAAGTCTGGGAGACTATTATCTCCAATTAACTACCTGAAAACTGGAAGTGGCACTATGGCTCAAAGTGATAGAGTGCTAGGCTTGAGCAGAAGAGCTCAGGGACAGTGCTCAGGCCCTGAGTTCAAGCCCCATGAGTGACTGCTGCCTCCCCCCCACAAAAAAATCTATAACTGCAGTGTGGAGGATTAAGATTTTGGTGAATATACTTAAGAATTTTTCTAGGTAGATATTAACTTAAAAAAAAAAAAAGCTACCGTTGGGCCAGGTGCTGGTGGCTCATGCCTCTAATTCTAGCTACTCAGGAGGCCAAGATCTGAGGATCGCGGTTGAAAGCCAGTCCGGGCAGGAGTCCACGAGACTTATTTCCAATTAACCAGCGGAAAATGGTGGGAAGTGGTGCTGTGGCTCAAGCAGTAGAGCACTAGCATTGAGCTGAAGAGCTCAGGGACAGTGCCCAGACCCAGAGTTCAAGCCTCACGACTGACAAAAAACAAAAAACCCACAAAAAACAAAAAACCCAAAAAAAACTCATCATGCAAAGGCTATGACTTTTATTTAATACAGTATAATATATTTAATATTTTTATTTCGAACACCTTATAAACATTTCATAACCAGTTTTATTCTCCTTAAAATGAACATACAGGTATTATTCTGGGTTTCTGTAAAATGGAAAGCATATACAAAGATTCCTATTTCATTTTTAGGAAAGGTCTCTATGTAGAGTGCAGGCTGGTTTAAACTCATGATCCTCCTGCCTCAGCCTTTCTAGTGCTGGATTTCAAGCATGCACCATTCTGCCTGGCTGGGTTCCTATTTTTTATCCTCCTCTATGACTTTTGACGATAAGGTTTGGGAAGGCATTGACACACAGAGTGCAGCTGTTCCAGGCTGGAGAGTAATTGTCATATGCTGCCAAGGTCTCAGAACTCGCACTTGCAGTATCAGATTGAGGATTTACCCTAGAGGGTTAGATGGAAAGCCACACAAGTTGCGTAAGTCACCCCTCTGTCCTGGGTCAAAAGTTATCAGCACCCAGAAAAATATATATTATCACTCAACACTTTCCTTATAACCTATGAGAAACAACTGAAGAAGACAGTGTTCTTAGCTTAATGAACTGCTTCTTGAGAATATTCACTGTGTCATCCACCGAGCTTTTCATGTGGTTATGTTACTGCTTCCCAAGAATCAGTTTTATTACTTAAGGCTGTGCTCATCATCTTTGAGTCAAAATCTAGGGCACAACTGGTTTCTAGGTATGAGTTTTCTTGGGGTTGGTACATAATTTCTTCCAATTGACTGCTGATTCATTTAACTAAGTATATATTCCTCCAGTACTACTTCTGTGAAACTCCTCAGTCTTCCAACTCAAACTCATATAAAAATAAGTAATTTCTATGTAACTTGACAGTAGAGGCAGGAGGGGGATTTTGGGGGAAAATAAGGGAGGGTGACATAGACCAAGAAACACTGCATTCATAACCTGATTAATGGAATTGTAAGCCTTTTGTACAACCACTTAATAACACTTTTCCTTACAAAAGAGATGCCAGGAAACTATGAATCATCAAGAACAGACGCATGTTCACTTCTTTGTACATTTACACTTTATCTACCATATATGTACCCTTTACACAAATGTAACAGGTACACAAAGTTTGTCTGTTGTGTCTATTGTATTTATTAATATTTATTAATATAAAACTAAAGCTAAGATGGGGTGTGATCTGCTGAGATGGTAGTGAGAGGCTGAGGCAGGTGGTCAGAAGTTCCAGGCCAGACTTAGTCACACAAATCCTGTCTTAAAACAGTGCTAGCTAGGGCTATGGCTTAAGTGGCAGAGTCACACCTAGCAAGCAGGAGGCTGAAATTAAATCCCAATACCACCAAAAAAACAAAAAAACAACAACAAAAAAAACCTCCCCTGGGGCTGGGAAGGTGGCTCAGTGGTAGAGTCCTTGCCTTGCATGCATGAGGCCCTGGGTTCCATTGCTCAGCACCACAAAAGCAGAAAAAGCTGGAAGTGGGGCTGACACTCAAGAAGCAAAGTGCTGGCCTTCAGCTAAAGAGCTGAGGGACAGCACCCAGGCCCAGAGTTCAAGCCCCACGACCGAAGAAAAAAAAAAAGAAAGAAAGAAAGAAAGAAAAAAACCCTCCCCTATACAGAATATGTATACATACTAAAGTCTTTCTCTGGAAATAAAAATAGTATTTCCTCTTGAGAAACTGAATTTGGAAAAAACGTTTCAAAAATAACCCATAATCCACTCTCCAGAGAGGGGTTAGGTCCTATGAATAAGCAGATAATTATAGTTTTTCACTAGCCTCTACCTCTCTGGGGTACTAGGTGCTTTATTCCAACCTTTATATAATACAAGTTGGAAATTCTGCTGCTTAAACATGCAAGAAAGATCACTTGAACTAAATATAACAACTACAAATTTGGGGGGGCGGGGGTTGGTTGTGGTGCTTGAGCTCTGGGCCTGGGTGCTGTCCCTGAGCTCTTCAGCTCAAGGCTAGTGTTCTACCACTGGAACCACAGCTCTATTTCCAGTTTTCTGGTGGTTTATTGGAGAATAGCATCTCACAGACTTTCCCGTCTGGGCTGGCTTTGAACCAAGATCCTAAAAATCTCAGCCTACTGAGTAGCTGGGCTTACACGCGTGAGCCACCGGTGTCTGGCCAAACTACAAAATATTTTAAGAAGAGATTTTACACATTACACTGTAGCATCTGGGAAGTACTGATAGTCTTGATGTTATTTGTAGTTAACTCTCCAACATGAGGTCTCTGAAACCAATCTGACCTTAAGAGAATTATCTGCCAAAAATACTGGTATAAACTGAATTAAGATGTGGCTAGGTATTGAGAAACTTTATTGGAAAGTTTAAAAACAAAATAAAAAAGTAAATGCCAAAGTTGGTTTTTTTGTTTTGTTTTGTTTGTTTTTTGTAAAAATCAGTCCTGGTTATTGCCTCTTAATCCCCCCACCACTCCAGTCTCTGTCTCTCTTTGTGCTGGTATTAGGGCCTTGTACTCTCACTTAGCTTATTCTGCTTAAGACTGGCATTCTACCACTTGAGCCATACCTCCAGTTCCAGTTTTTTGCTGGTTAACTAGAGGTAAGACTCTCAAAGATATGCCTGCCTTAGCTGGCTTCAAACTGATTCTCAGATTGCAGCCTTCTGAGTAGCTAGCATTACAGATATGAACTGGGGCCTGGCCTTTCTCTTACTCTCTCTCTGCTTTCAGTGGTAGATCAAACCCAGGAGTCTCCTACATGCCTGGCAGAAAATCTACACCCTTAGCCCCCCAACTCTTAATTTCAACTTCTTTCATAGGAGGTTTCAATTTCTTGGCAAACCTAATAATGAAAAGCATCAGAATTTGATCAAAGGTAGTTTTTTAAAAGATAGTTTTTTAAAAAAGAAAAAACAAACAAACAAACAGTATCTGAGCCAGGCACTGGTGGCTCAGGCCTGTAATGCTAGCTACTCAAGAGGCTGAGATTTAAGGGTTGCAGTTTGAAGCCACCAGGCAGAACACTCTGTGAGACTATCTCCAATTACCCACCAAAAAGCTAGAAGTGGAGCTGTGGCTCAAGTGGTAGAGTGCTAGTGTTGCACACAAAAGCTAAGGGAGAGCACCCAGGCCCTGAGTTCTAGGCCCAGGACTGGCACCAAACAAAAAACCAGTATCAGAGTACTTCCAGCAGATGAATATATTGCTAATAGTTTGTATGTATAAGCATATACAATGCACAGACTCATAGCAACAGCATATCAGAAGATCAGATTTAATTTTTCACTTGCCAGGTGATCTTTCTACACAGACACACAGATAGGTTGGTCCACACTATTATTGTGAGCCAATAATCCAAGTAAAGGTGAGCTCCATTCTAGGATACATAACAGAAGGGCTTTTCCTACAGTATTCTTTTTTGGTGCCGATTCTAGGGCTTGAACTCAGGGTCTGTGCATTGTCCCCTGAGCTTTTTTGCTCAAGGCTAGTTCTCGACCACTTGAGCCACAGCTCCACTTCTGGCTTTTTGGTGGCTTGGAAATAACAATCTCACAGAGTTTCCTGCCTGGGCTGGCTTCAAACCAAGATCCTCAGATCTCAGTCTCATGAATATCTAGGATTATAGGCCTGAGCAGCCAGGTAAAGAATTAGTCATTCTTTATACAAAAAATATGAGCAATAAAATGTATATGCAATGTTTCCCTCAAATACTGCAAATTGTCTTTATGATATGATAAACTACTCATAATAGATTAAATGCCTCCAAAACATTTCAATATATGGAAATCATACTTTTCACTTGTAGTGTAGGGGTCAAAGCCAGGGAATTACAGACATGATGCGAATGCTCTACTGAGCCATACTAGCCCTAAATCATACTTTTATAAATCAACATACAAAAATCAAGATTTTCAACTTTTTGCTATACAGATAATTCAAATGCCACTTAAATGAACATACTTGTGTAGAACATTATCTTTTATATCTAATAAAATCAATGATATTTTTACTAATAAGATCAAATTGTCAAAATTAAGCTCTGTAGCTTCCCTCTGAAACTATAGCTTTTTTTTCCATATTCAGTGGGTACCTGGCAAAAGCTGGATAAAAAGTGGAAAATATTTTTCTTTTCCATTCTTTCTTTTGCACTGGTACTGGTGATTGAATTCTGTCTCACACTCTAGCTTAGCTCTTTTACTCAAGACTTGAGCCATACCTATACTTCCAGTTTTTTGCTGGTTAATTGGAGATATGAGTCAGTAGAGGTAAGTCTCCTGGACTGATCTGTACAAGATGGCTTTAAACTGAGATCCTTTGATCTCAGCCTCCTAAGTAACTAGGATTACAGGTGCGAACCATCATCACCCAGCTAAATTTTTCTCTCTCTTGAGAAGACAAGAACCCTAACTAGCACAAACATCAAGAACATTAGAAGTTTAACAGTTTTTACTTACTATTTCTCCTAGTAGGACCACATTTTCTCCTCTGACCACAAAAATCCCTCGAGGAATATCACCGTATTTTTTGCCCACATGAATACGCTCCACAGTCTGATGAAGCACTAAGTTAGCTGTAAATGTATAGAGAAGAAAAACAGGTATTTAGTTCATTTACCAAGTTAAGTCCATAGCTCAAGAATTTGGTTCTAATTATGGGAAAAACTAAAACTTCAATTTTACTGTATAGGATATACCTACTACTTAGGAAACTTAAACATTCAGAGTATCTGAGGTAATAATGTATTAATTCATGATGATGGTGAAAGCAAATTCCTTTATTAGTTAGTTGCTACTATCAACATAGCTGTAAGAAAATATAAATGAATAGGTACTTGGAAACTTGAACCTGAATAATCACTGAGGTTAAAACTGGTTTTTGGGAAGAAAGAGTTTTCTTTTATTGTGTGGATATGTATACATGATGCTTTATTAAAGGTTAAATTCTTTCAGTAGTAGGCTTTATTTAACCCAGTGCAAGTATTCATGGATTATAATGTAGAAAGAACCTATTTGTTAGATAATAACCTGAGAATAGGTTCAATATTCACTAGTCATCCCTCAAAGTACTCTGGTGATTTTGACTGAAAATTTGTAATATCATATTAGTCTATTAAGAATAATTTTCTTGGAGGCTGGGAAGGTGGCTCAGTGGTAGAGCGCTTGCCTTGCATGCATGAGGCCCTGGGTTCGATTCCTCAGCACCACATAAGCAAAAAGAAAAAAGCCGGAAGTGGCACTGTGGCTCAAGTGGTAGAGCGCTAGCCTTGAGCTGAAGAGCTGAGGGACAGCGCCCAGGCCCAGAGTTCAGGCCCCACGACCGGATCCCCCCCCTAAAAAAAAAAAAAAAAAAAAAAAAAGAATAATTTTCTTCTTTCAACTAGTTCTACTTGCCTTTTTTGGTGGTAATGGGCTTGAATTCAGGGTCTGGGCACTGTTCATAAGCTCTTTTGCTCAAGGCTAGAGCTCTACCACTTTGAGCCACAGCCCCACTAAGAGTCTCATAGGGACTTTTCTCCTGGGCTGGCTTCAAACTGTGATCTTCATTCAGATCTCAGCTTCTTGAGAAGCTAGGATTATAGGCGTGAGCCACAGTACCCAGCCTTTGATTTGTGTATGTGTGTGTGTGTGTGTGGTTTTTTCCCGTCAAGGGTAGCACTCTACCACTTGAGCCACAGTTCTACATTGAACTTTTCTGGTGGAGATAAAGAGTCTCACGGGTTTTCCTGTATGGGCTGGATTCACACTGCACTTCTCAGATCTCAGCCTCCTGAATAGTTAGGATTATAGCACCAGTGCCTACCTATAACTAGTGTTTTGTTTGGACATACTGGGGTTTGAATTCAGGGTCTTGAACTTTCTAGGCAAGTGCTCTATCACTGAGCCATGCCTATAGCCATTTTCTACACTGCTTGTTTTGAGAGAGGATCTAATTTGTTTACCCTAGGGCCTGAGAATGGACCATGATGCTATTTTATGCTTCCTGCCATAGTTGAGACAATAGGTATGTATCACCATGTACACCTTCTTTCACCAAGATGGAGTTTTACAATTTTGTTTGCCTGCAGTTGGCTTGGAACTGCAAACCTTCCAATCTTAGCCTCCAATTTGCCTTGGGATAACTGGCACATACCACTGTACCCAGCTATTGTCTGACAAGTGGTCTTGTGGATTGGTCTCAAACCACAATCCTCCTCATCTCAGCCTCCTGAGTATTTAGGATTATAAACTTAAGCCAACACGTGCAACTTCTATCTTCTGTAAGTCTTAAGTTTCCATTTTGTTTATTTTCCTTATGATCAAGTAGAAGTTCAACAAATGTTGATGTGAATTTAGCAGTTACTTGTAAAAGAAGAAGAATATCTCCTACTTTAGAAAAATGAAGACTAGCCAAGTATCAGTGGCTCATGCCTGTAATCTTAGCTACTTAGGAGGCTGAGATCTGAGGACTGAGGTTCAAAGCCAGCCCAGGCAGGAAAGTCTGTGAGACTTTTATCTCCAATAAACCACTCCGAAAAATGGAAGTGGAGCTGTGGCTCAAGTGGTAGAGCACTAGTCTTGAGCTGAAGAGCTGAGGGACAGCACACAGGCCCAGAGATCAAGCCCCACAAACGAAATTAAAAAAAAAAAAAAAAAAAAAAGATGAAGACTAAAAACAAAGATTGAGATTTGTAAGTCTCATATAGTCCTCTGCAAAACTTGACCTTAATGTTCCCTAAAAAGTTTCAGGAAGTATTATCTTCTTAGTTTTTATTATTATTATTTTTTGGTCTGGTTATGGGGACTGAACTCGGCCTGGGCGCTGTCCCTCAGCTCTTCAGCTCAAGGCTAGCGCTCTACCACTTGAGCTACAACGACACTTCCGGCTTTTTTCTTTTTGCTTATGTGGTGCTGAAGAATCGAACCCAGGGCCTCAGGCATGCAAGGCAAGCACTGTACCACTGAGCCACCTTCCCAGCTCCATATCTTCTTAGTTTTTATTGGAAGAGAGGAATTACCTTCAGTGTAGGCAGTGCTTTGAAGAGTCACCTCATCCAAGCCAATGCATAAATGAGCAGCCTTTTCAGTGGACTGAGTTTATGCCATCCTGGGGCTTGAACTCAGGGCCTAGGTACCATCTCTGAGCTTCTCTTTTGCTCACACTAATGTTCTACAACTTGAGCCATAGCTTCACTTCCTGACTGAGTTTCTTTCTAGCATTTGGCTCCCTCTAATGGGAAACTAAAGAATCCAAATGCTGTAGTGTAAACCAGTTTTAGAAACAGGAATTTATAAAATATACAAACTTTTGAATCATCTAATCACAATTTAATAATGACTTACTCATTCAAAACAGATCCATTATGCTAGACATGTAAGAAATGCATATAAATTAATTTCAAAATGAAGCCAGGAGTTGGTGGCTCACACTTATAATCCTAGCTACTCAGGAAGCTGAGATCTGAGGATCCTGGTTCAAAGCTGGCCTGGGGGGGAGGAAAGTCCATCAGACTCTCATCTCCAATTAACCACCAGAAAATCTGAGGTAGAGCTGTGGCTCAAAGTGGTAGAGTGTTAGCCTTGAGCAAAAGAACTCAGGAATAGCACCCAGGCCCTGAGTTCAAGCCTCATGACTGACCCCCATCCCACCCCACCCCCCCAAAAAAATGAAATAACAAAAAATGCAATTGGTGGCTCTTACTATCCAAACAATTAAATTTTCCATAGTTCTTACATACCAAACTGATCAATGCTTCTTAAAAATCCTATAAGTGTCCTTCCATCTCGAAGCAGGACCAAGTGTTTTTCTAGGGAGAAGAAAAAAGATATTTGAAATGAAAGCAGTCATCTTCAGTGAGTTTACAGACTACCAGTGAAAATCATTAGTAACAATTTAAGCTATGTCACTTCCTCTTCCAACGCATTAGGATAGAGTTCACTGAAAAAATGGGGGTGGGGGTAGGGGGAGGAGAGGAGCGGGGAACAGGGAAGTCTGGGATTTAGATGAGAAACTTAGAGGTCAAAAGAATCAGAGTAGTAGGGCCGGGAAGGTAGCTCAGTGGTAGAGTGCTTGCCTTGCACGCATGAGGCCCTGGGTTCAATTCCTTAGCACCACATAAGTGGAAAAATCTGGAAGTGGTACTATGGCTCAAGTGGTAGAGCACTAGCCTTGAGTTGAAGAGCTGAGGGACAGCGCCCAGGCCCAGAGTTCAGGTCCCACAACTGACAAAAAAAGAATCAGAGTAGTGGTGCCATGACTGGCACCAGAGCCTGATGCCTAACCCTTTAACCCTCTCCCTGTCACATACATCTGTATATTGAGATATTTAGACTAGATGATTTTTATTAATTCTGGAAATATTTTCCCTCAACTTTTTTTTTCTAATGAGACATATACTTACAAATCTTTACATTATCACTTGTCAGGGCATCCTGGACTCCCGGGGCCCTCTATTTTCATTGTGTGAATTAGCAGGGCTGCAGTTCTGGTCCTTCAGTTTGGGTTGCTAGTTCTCACTTTCACAGGTCTCCATTCTCCTTCCAAGGGACCTTAGGAAAGCCTTTGATGACTGTATTTTGTGCCCCCACAGTCCCAGTCCTGTCTGATCACCCACATTTGTGTGTGTGTGTATGTGCCAGTACTGGGGCTTGAACTCTGTACATAGGCAGTATCCCTTAGCTTTTTTGATCAATACTGACACTGCCACTTGAACCACAGCTCCACCTATGGATCACCCACATTTTAATATGCCTTGCCCCATGCAAGTTTTCCACCCATGTCCTCCCAATCTGCCTGTCTCTGCCACTCAGACCTGGCACATTCTCATTCCATGAGGAAGTACAGCTCAGTGATAATACCTGTAACTCCGTTCCACACAGATCTGAATTCAAGTCTTGTAAAATACGGGTAAGAAGGGTGGGGTGCATAGGCTGCTGAAGGATTTGCCATGTATGTCTCTCCCTGCCTGGTCTCTGTTCCATAGTGAATGCCAAGGGAAGTTTTAAATGAAAATAATGCATCCAGCAGCTAGAGGTATAACTCAGACACAGCCTAAATTTAGCAACCCAAAGGTTCTGGGTTCAATCCATTGTACCAATAAAAATTAAAACTGCCTCATTTAAGGGGACTTGATAATAACCTGGAGTAAAATTCAATATTTATTGAGAGCTATATACTGTTATGGTGCCTGAAGATCACTAACCCTATGAATTTATATTCAGTGTGGGAGGAAAATAAGAAAGCCACGTATGGTAGCTTTCCATTATACTTATCTGTGGTAAGTATAATAGAATAACAGATAGGTAAGAATAGGATAATGACATGAACAGAGAAGTAGAGAACAGAGGTTGGCAAAGAAAAATCTCTCTAAAGAGGTAACTGAAGACATTGAAGGATGACAATAAGCCAGGTATCAGAAAAGCCAGCAAAATTTCAGCTATGCATCGACTATTTTCTCTATGTATAGTTGAGGGACAGTGATTCTGCACTGAAGGAATTTATAGTCTTCTGTGAGCTGTAATTAAGCACTATAAGCAAAAAATCAAATTATATAAGCCTTCAGGGGCACATTATATGTGTGGAGGTGGTATTTGAGGTAATAATGATGGGCCACGGGACACGTGAGGAAAATCTGCAAATTAGGTAGGAGGAAAAGAAATTGTTCATATTCAAATGTCTGGCTAAAAGGAAAGGGGAGGGGAGGGAAAGGAGTTAAATTCAGAAAAGTACTGGGAGGGGGCAGGCTCAATTTGGATTTGATTTCTAAATTATAAAAGGAATAAGAAAACACAAAGACTGATCTAGATAAAAGCAAGAAAAGTTTAAAGTTCATCTAGGAGGTCTCCTAGAGAGTTAGAGAATGAAGCAGGACAACCGTTTGCCTCAGACCACCTAACTGAGAGAATAGCAAGAAACAAGAAGGTAAACAGCAGGAACCAGTATTAGAACAACCAAGAGAACAGAATTAAGAACCCAAGTGAAATAATAACACATTTGCCGCAGAGCAAAGTCATCAGAATGTCTTAGCATTATGATTTAAGAAAGCAACTTTAGTAGTGTGGTGACAGTAAAATTTAGATTGCAGGGAATAAAAGGCAGTCTGCAATAGATGGTCAGGGGTGGAATCAAAATGGAATGAGAATAAAGCTCTAGTGGTGAGTGCCAACCTTGAGTGAAAAAGCTAAGGGGGCGTGCCTAAGATATGAGTTCAAGTTCTAGTAGTGGCACAAATAAAAAAGAAAATAGAGGTGAGACTCAAGAATATGCATAAGGGGGGCTGGGATTATGGCTTAGTGGTAGAGTGCTTGCCTAGCATGCATGAAGTCCTGGGTTTGATTCTTCAGTCCACATAAACAGAAAAAGCCAAAACTGGAGCTGTGGCTCAAGTGGTAAGAGTGCTAGCCTTGAGCAAAAGAAGCTCAAGGACAGTGCCCAGGCCCTGAGTTCAAGCTGCAGGACTGCCCCCCCCTCAAAAAAGTGTGTAAGGGATGGGTGTTCAATGGGGAGAGAATTGAAAAAGTACTTGAGATGACAGACAATATACATGAAGGGAAGGATGCGGAGAAAGGAACAGAAAACATGACAGAAAAAATTATATGGAAAAAGTTTCCATTTAAGGATAACAAAAGGGAAGAAGACTTCCTCTTTAAGTGAGAAGATGGGTGAAAATACAGAAAGACAGAGGAGGAAAATGTGTAAGTATAGGGGAATGAAGGATGAATAATAAATGGTTTCAAACTTTTCAGTAATGGAGGGGCTTGGAATTTAAAAGAATTATGGAAATGGGGCTCTGGTGGCTCAAGCCTGTAATCCTACTCAGGAGGCTGAGATCTGAGGATAATGGTTCAAAGCCACCTAGTCAGGAAAGTCCTTGAGACTCTTATCTCCAATAAACTACTCAAAAAAATCCAGAAGTGTTGGTGTTGCTCAAGTGGTAGAGTCCTAGCTTTGAGCAAAAGGAATCTCAGGGACAGTGCGGTAGAGGATGTAAGAACAAAATTTATATATATATTATGTGTGAGTTATATGTAATTATGAATAATTGTATACATATATATGATACATAAAGAGGTGAGGGTATAGGGCATCCTCAAGCTGCCAAAATACAATTATTTCATTACACCTTTACATTTTTTTGGGGGGGGGGGGGTCAGGGACTTGAATTCAGGACCTGGGGGCTGCTCTTGCCTTTGAGCTTTTCCCTCAAGACTAGTGCTCTTACTATATAAGGCTAAGGTCCACTTCCGGTTTTCTGGTGGTTAATTGGAGATAAGTGTCTCACAGACTTTCCTGCCCTGCAGGCTTTGAATTGGATCCTCACATCTCAGCCTCCTGAGTAGCTAGGATTACAGACATGAGCCACCAGTGCCTAGCCATCTTTACATTTTTTTGAGTGTGTGCAGGTATGAGGGCTTGAACTCAAGGCCACTTGTCCTTTTGCTCAGCTTTCTTGCTCATGCCTGGTGCTCTACCAGTCCAGCATTTTTGCTGGTAATTAGAGATAGCATCTCTTGGACTTTGTGGCCATAATTGGCTTCAAACCATGTCTCTCAGATCTCAACCTTCTAAGTAGCTAGGATTACATGTATGAGCCACTGGTGTCTGGCTTACATATTGTTTCCTATGTGTTGTTATTTGTGTGAATATGTGTGTGTGTGTATAAACACACACATATATATGAAGATAAAGTCCAATGTATTTGCTCCAATTTCCACTACATTTGCCTTCAATAACAAAACATGTCATTTAGGTTTAAAAAAATGTCAGATAACCGAGTTGGGAATGTGGCTTAGTGGTAGGTAGAGTGCTTGCTTACCATGCATGAAGCCCTAGGTTCGATTCCTCACTATCACATAAACAGAAAAAGCCAGAAGTAGCTCTATGGCTCAAGTGGTAGTGTGCTATCCTGGAGCAAAAGAAGCTCAGGGACAGTGCCAGGCCCTGAACTGAATTCAAGACGGAGGTGGAAAGAAGAAAGCAGCAGCTAGGCGCCAGTGGCTCAAGCCTGTAATCCTAGCTACTCAGGAGGCTGAGATATGAAGATGGCAGTTCAAAGTCAGCCTTGGCAGAAATGTCTATGAGACTCTTATCTCCAATTAACCACCAGAAAACTGGAAGTGGTGCTATGGCTCAAGTGGTAGAGTTTAAGCCCCAAGACCGACAAAAAAAAAAAAAAAAAAGCCAATAGTGGTGCTGTGGCTCAAGTGGTAGGGCGCTAGCCTTGAGCGGAAGAGCTGAGGGACAGCGCCCAGAGATCAGGATCCACAACCAAAAACAAAAAAAAGGAAGCTAATTGCAGGTGGCTCAGGCTTGTTATCCTAGCTACTCAGGGAGGGTCAGATCTCAGGATAGCGGTTCAAAGCCTGCCAACCCGACGGAGGCAGGAAAGTCTTTGAGACTCTTCTTCAATTAACCCCCAGAAAACTGGAAGTGGCACTGTGGCTCAAGTGGTAGAGTGCTAGCCTTGAGCCGAAGAGCTGAGGTCTGGATTTCAAGCCCCACAACCGACAAAACAAAAACAAATACAGAATGCTTCACAATTTTGCGCGTATTCCTTGAGCACAGGCCAAAGCTAATCATCTCTGTATGGCTCCAAAATCGGTGAAAAGAAAGGACAGTAAGTGGTTCCTCTTTTATACAGGACTGAACTCTTCAGAGCAGTAAGTAGGAATATGGGAAGTCTTCTTAGTGAAAACAAAAGAAAATTGTGTCAAAGAAAAAACATGTTTGAAGTGGATTAGCTTTCTAGGAAAGTCAGTATCACGTGAGGCAGTGGTTTTTACGACCCACACCTAATAACCTGCAAACTGCCACGCAGCGTTAAGACCTACGTTTACTAATTAAACCTAACCGCTGTTGTCTTATTATTACTTCTCCCTCCCCGCTTAGTGACTGCTGTGAGTATTCTCATCCTCCCACTGCTAACAACCTGGTACTTAGCAATACTGCAGGTGGGAGACGGTGGGCCCGAGTGGGGCAGGGTCATTTTCGCGTTCGGGCCTCGGGTGCGGCTGCGACCCTCGAGGCCACGAAGGACTCCACGGCTCGTGGCTCACCAGCCCCGAGGGGGCAGGCTCAGGGGCGGGCCAGCGGTGGGTCCTGAGGCTGTGGAGAAGGTCAACGGGGAGCATCGGAACAGAGGTCAGAGCCTACCTACCGCCCGCCCGCAGAGAAGCAACTCATCCCGGAGACCAGCTACTCACTGTCTATGTCCTCGATGAGGCTGGCGGTGCCGGGCATGTAGTTCATTTTGAACTGAGGTAAAGCTGTAACGAACTGCGGCGTGGGCCAGCACCTCTGACAGCTCTTCCCCACCCTCCCCCACGGCAGTCGTCGCCTGCAGGCGACGAAGACGTAAACCGCGCGACCCCGACCCACAAGTTAGCCCCGGCTTTCAGCCGCCGGGGCTTGCCGGAAGCAACTGCCTATTGCCCCCACCCACTTCCGGTACACGTGCCCAGCCTCCGGAAAAGGCGGGACAATCGTGCGGTCCGGTGGCACCGTGTCCCCCCCCCCCCCCATCGTTACGTGGGAAGAGGGACTAAATTGGGTGGCCTATGGGAAAATGCGTCCTACCGTTTAAGGACTATAGAGGCTCTTCTTGCTTTCCTTCTTCCGTGGCCGTCGCTCAACGCTCCACCTTGGCAAACAGAAGGGGCGGGATCTTCCTGGGATTGACTGCTGGCGTCCTACCCCTGCGCAGCTCGTCAGTCCCGCCCTCCAGTTGGCGCCTGCGCAATGGGTCGGCCGTGGGGGGCGGGAAGGGCTTCGGGGCAGGAGAGCCCATGTCGGCCCTGAGGCGCTCGGGCTACGGCCCCAGTGAAGGTCCTTCCTACGGCCGCTACTACGGGCCTGGGGGAGGAGATATGCCGGTACACCTTCCTCCGCCCTTATATCCACCTCTTCGCCCCGAGCCTCCTCAGCCTCCCATTTCCTGGCGGGTGCGCGGGGGCGGCCCGGCTGAGACCACCTGGCCCGGGGAAGGCGGAGGTGGCGATGGCTACTATCCTTCGGGAGGCGCCTGGCCAGAGCCAAGCCGAGCTGGGGGAAGCCACCAGGTGAGCTGGGCACGGTCTGTCCCCGAGCCTACCGAGGGCCGGTTGTTTATACGTCTAGGGTTTGTAATGCCTCGGGTTTCCTATTTGTTTTCCTTCGGGAGGGGGAGCCGGAGAGGCGGCGGGAGAGGCGGGAGGGGGCTGGGGCAGGTTTGCTGGTATTCCCTTTGCCCCACCATTTCGGCTTTGGCTGCAACGACGGTGCCTCTTACTACAAGAAAGGGCGGGGTGGGGGGGGGGGGAGAAAGGAAAAAGATCCTGCACTGACTTTTTACCCTTCGCACTGACTTTTCTTTTTTGCTTAGTAGCAAACTAGTGGTCCCTTTCCCGGAAGCAATGTCTTGTTGGAGTGCCAGAGCCCTCCGCGCGAGCTTTAACAATTTTTCCTGCGTGGCTAGGGTGACTGCAGCCCCAGTCGTCACTTAGCCCCTCCCTCAGGGATGGAGCTTGAATGAGGGGGAGGGATCTGGGCATTTAGCCCTTTGCTCCCAGAGCCTGGCGGCGGCGGGGGGGGGGAGGGGGGGGGAGGGGGGGGGGCGGGGGTGAATCACAAATAATGTGGTGCAGCACCTTTACGTGGATTGTTTATTAATCTTCACGGCCACGAGGTAAATGTCGTTACAGGCATCCCTACTTGCCAATAAAGAAGAAAGGTCAGAGGTTAAATCACTTTGTTTTATATTTGGACTTGTTTCATTCTCATATATGCATGGCATATTTCTTAGTCGTAGGTTATTATAGGAAGGTACCATACCTCCTTCGTTCAGGAAGTAGGACACTGTCATTTGTTGGAAATGTGATAGTGACATTTTTCATACACAGCTGGTAAGGTTATAAAATGGTACTGTGCTTTGGAAATTAATTGGGCAGTTCCTCAAAACATTAAGCATCGAATTAGTCTGTGATCCAGCAGGCCCATTCCTGGATTGGGTATATCCCAATAGAACTGAAAACATGTTCACATGAGAGCTACAACATGCATGTTCATAGCACCATTAATGAGAATAGTCAAAATGTAGAAATGACCTACATATTCATCAACTGATGAGTGGATTCACAAAATATGGTACTTATTTTGGAATATAACAAACATGCAATGGAATATTACTTCGCTATAGAAAGGAGTGAAATACTGATATATGCTACAACATGAGTGAACTTTGAGTGTACTTGAGTTGTACGTTTTATGGTATGCTTACTATATTTTAAACATTATATGAGAACAAGTTGCAGTGAGACATTAACTGCAAAGAATGAGCTTTGTTTTCTGTACTTCAATTTAGAATAAATAGGCTGTTTGATTTCAATTCCATGGTCTAGTGATGAAATGGTTGGCTTGTAAGTACCCAAATTAAAAATGAGTTGAAAGGAAAGAGGAGGGGAACTTTCAACTGCTGACTTCTCTTGAATTTTGCTGTATTATCAAAGTGAAAGTGTGTTTTCTGAGATAGAGCTAGGAAGGGATTGTATAGGCTACAACAATTAAGGTTTTTTTGTGTGTGTGTTGTGTAGGGTGCTGCGAGGTATGGTTGGTTTATAGGTGTTTACATAGGGTGGGTGATCCTTTCTGGATTTGTTGGAAATAAAACAATTTGTAATGTGTATTATTTGTAAACTTTAGAGTTTGGACTTTACCTTTCAGATAACGTAGAAGCTCTAAAAAGTACAGGATGGCCTTAAAATTAAGTGTTGGATATTCTTACATAGTAATAGAAAATTAATACAAAAGATTCACATGCCAGGCGCCGGTGGCTCACTCCTGTAATCCTAGCTACTCAGGAGGCTGAGATATGAGGATCACGGTTCAAAGCCAGCCCAGGCAGGAAAGTCCGTGAGACTTTGATCTCCAATAAACCACCAGAAAACCGGAAGTGGCGCTGTGGCTCAAGTGGTAGAGTGCTGGCCTTGAGCTGAAGAGCTCAGGGACAACACCCAAGCCCCGAGTTCAAGCCCCAGGACCCACAAAAAAAAAAAAAATCACATGTTATCACAGATGTTGCAATTTTCTTCCCAATTTTCTTTATTTGCTTTTGCTGTTTTATATTTTGCTAATTTTTATATTATCAAATCTGTCATATTAAAAAAAAGTAAAAGACATGTATTTTTTTTCTCCATTAATGCTGGTAATGGAATCCAGTACCTTGTACATACTTGGCAAGCATTGTACAAGCTATACCTCCAAGATCCTGAGGAGACTTTAAAAATCTTTGGACTTAAAGTGTAATATCAGGGTTGGGAAGTTGGCTTGGTGGTAGAGTGCTTGCCTTGCATGCATGAGGCCCTGGGTTCAATTCCTCAGTACCACATAAGCAGAAAAAGCCGGAAGTGCTGCTGTGGCTCAAATGGTAGAGCACTAGCCTTGAGCTGAAGAGCTGAGGGACAGCGCCCAGGCCTAGAGTGCAGGCCCCATGACTAACTAAAAACAAAAAATGTGATCTAAGGCTGTGAACGTGGCTCAGTGGTAGAGTGCTTGCCTAGCCTGCATCTTTATGCAGGCTTCAATTCCTCAGTACCACATAAACAGAAAAAGCCAGAAGTGGAGCTGTGGCTCAAGTGGTAGAGTGTTAGCCTTGAGCACAGAGAGGCTCAAGGACAGTGCCTGGGCTCCTGAGTTCAAGCTCCAGGACCAGCCCCCCCAAAAAAAGTGTGATCTAGCTGGGTGCTGGTGGCTAGCAAGTAGCTCCTAGATACTCAGGAAGCTGAGATCAGAGGATCACAGTTTGAAGCCAGCCCAGGCAAGAAAGTCTTTCAGACTGTTATCTCTGCTAAGCTACAAAAGAAAAAGAAAGAAAGAGAGAAAGAAAGAAAGGAAGGAAGGAAAGAAAGAAAAAGAGAGAAAGCAAGCAAGAAAGCAAGCAAGCAAGCCAGAAATGGAGTTCAAGGCCCAGGAATTCAAGGCCCAGGACTGACAAAGTGTAAGGCCCTGAGTTCATTTCCCAGTAACACACACACACACTAAGGCCCTGAGTTCATTTCCCAGTAACACACACACACACACACACACACACTAAGGCCCTGAGTTCATTTCGCAGTAATACACACACACACACCCGCTTCTGGCCCTGAGTTCATTTCCCAGTAACACACACACTAAGGCCCTGAGTTCATTTCCCAGTAACACACACACACACACACACACACACACACTAAGGCCCTGAGTTCATTTCCCAGTAACACACACACACACACACACACACACACACACACACACACACACACACACACACACACACACACACACACACACACCCGCTTCTGGCCCTGAGTTCATTTCCCAGTAACACACACACTAAGGCCCTGAGTTCATTTCCCAGTAACACACACACACACACACACACACACACACACACACACACACACACACACACACACACACACACACACACACACACACACACCCGCTTCTGGCCCTGAGTTCATTTCCCAGTAACACACACACTAAGGCCCTGAGTTCATTTCCCAGTAACACACACACACACACCCGCTTCTGGCCCTGAGTTCATTTCCCAGTAACACACACACTAAGGCCCTGAGTTCATTTCCCAGTAACACACACACACACACACACACACACCCGCTTCTGGCATTTTCTGTGTATGTGGTACTAAGGAATCGAACCCAAGGCTTCATGCATGGTAGACAAGCATTCTACCATAACCCACATTCCCAGCCCTACTTAGATTCTTTTTTTTTTTTTTTGGGTCCGGTCATGGGGCCTGAACTCTGGGCCTGGGCGCTGTCCCTCAGCCCTTCAGCTCAAGGCTAGCGCTCTACCACTTGAGCCACAGCGCCACTTCCGGCTTTTTTCTTTTTGCTTATGTGGTGCTGAGGAATCGAACCCAGGGCCTCTGGCATGCAAGGCAAGCGCTCTACCACTGAGCCACCTTCCTAGCCCCCCTACTTAGATCCTTAAGTCAACATTTCTTTTTCATTTTTGGTGCTAATCCTAGGGCTTGAACTCAGAGCTGGACACTGTTTCTGAGCTTTTTTACTCAAGGCTAGCACTCTACCACTTGAGCCACAGCTCCACTTCTGGCATTTTTGGTAGTTAATTGGAGATCAAAGTCTCACAGACTTTCTCTGCCTGGGCTGGCTTCAAACCATGATCCTCGGATCTCAGCCTCCTGAGTAGCTAGGATTACAGGCATGCAGTTAACATTTTATGAGTTGTTTTTGTTTTTTGTTTTTTTTGCAGCTACCCATTTTAGTTTTGAGATGCTTAAATTGTGTAGATTTGAAAGGTATTTTCAACGGTAGAATAATAAGTTGAGGTGGAAGATGTGGAAGAAACATAAGACAGTTCTGAAGTTTCAATATTTCATATGCACAGAAATAAAAAGGAAGAACAGGCTTTTATGGGAAAATACTGGTTTAGTTTGATACCAAAAAATCTAACAGTTAAGAGAGGAGCTTGAAGAAGTATTTTCTGGGAACTATTGGGAAGGAGTTAGGATGATGGAAAGGATAAAGGAGGTTGCTATAGGGAATAGGATTTTTTTGGGGGGAGGGGTCAGTCATGGGGCCTGAACCTGGGCCTGGGCGCTGTCCCTCAGCTCTTCAGCTCAAGGCTAGCACTCTGCCACTTGAGCCACAGCGCCACTTCTGGCTTTTTCTGCTTATGTGGTGCTGAGGAATTGAACCCAGGGCTTCATGCATGCAAGGCAAGCACTCTACCACTGAGCCACCTTCCCAGCCCTGGGGATAAGATTTTTTAAGGATATAGTATAAATGTTAGGAGATATAACAACGAAATTCTCTCCTGTTAATTAACTATATTTCCATTTCTTCTGGAGACCTGTTAGATGTTTACTGGGTGTCAAATTCTGGATACAATATTGGATTGATTAAGCATCCAGGAGCCATTGACTCATGCCTGTAATCCTAGCTACTCTGGAGGCTGAGATCTGAGAATCATAGTTCAAAGTTCTAGGCAGAAAAGTCCATCAGATCATTGCTAGTAAACTTAAAAAAAATCCTGAAGTAGAACTGTGGCTGAAGTGGTA